TATTTCCACATCTTGTGTCTGCAGCTCCTCTGTCTCGTGTGTGTGTGTGTGTGTGTGTGTGTGTACATGCATGTGCGCACATTTCATGACCTATGTAAGACCATGCATGTTGGTTGTGGGAACATCACGCCCCTCCAGTTCTAACCTATCCTCTTGTCTGCCCAGCATCCAGAAGAATCTGTCAAAAGAAAGCATCTAAGAGATAAAATCTTAAAATACATGCCCTCACCTCAAAAAGCCATGTCCTTTGCCCAAAGGATTACTATGGCGTCCATCTATCTTGAGGTTAGGTGCGTATTATGTTCAAGCATGCAAACAAATTCTCTACAAGGGTGGGCTTCCAGGTAGTAGATGGGGTTAATCACCATCGAATCCACTGCTAAAATGTCAAAGATTACAACTGTCTTCGCAACAGTGAAATGTGGTTAGAAATATTCTGGAAGGTTCAGAATGCCCACTAGGATGTCTTCTTGGCCCCTCTTCCCTCTGAGACCAGTAACAGGGAGCAACACAAGAAGTGAATTAAGCATTCTGTTAATAAGCTCCACATAATGAGTCCACTGCTAGGAAAACATGCATTATATATCGTGGTAGCTTCCCACAAAATCAACAATACGAATGCATTTCACGCTCAATGCTGACAGTATAGGCCTAAGTCAGACTCCGTAGCCCAACATCTTGATTTCTGGCTGGCTGCCTTATCTCACAACACTGGAACCGTGGAGGCTTTTCATGTGATTCAAGTATAGCATTGCATAGGTAGCACCAAGAAAGGAAATTTCTCAAGCCAGGATCCCCTGAGGACAACAATGGTTATTAAAATTATTTTCACCTAATTCTTTAGGAGGGGTTCATTAGAGGTAAGAAACACAAGGTCTTCTGTTTTGGGTCAGAGGGAGGGTTTCTGGGATGTAGATCCGGGGGGGCTAGAAATGCCACCCTCAAGTGGCTTTCCTTCCTAATGCTGGCTGATGAAGCCTTGCAGAATTCTCCCATAGAACCGTTTTGCAATGATGTTCTAGGGTAGACATAATGAACCTCCATTGATCTATGATGTTAAGATCCAACTGGAGCTTATTGGGATTATTTTTCTACAAGGGGCACTAGTGTGACTTTGCTTCCAGACGTAAACAGCAGAGGCCAAAGTACTGTTGTGCAGAGAAAGGCCTGTTGAGTCTGCGGGGTGGGGAAGACTGCTCCTCCAACAATACAGGGGGCAGCCTTGGGGAACGGTGCCCACTTTGACGGCTCTTTTCTGTAGTGCTAGGTTGTGCAAATGTTTTTCCGATTCAAGTTAATGAATAGGAATTCTGTAATATACTTGGGAGGTTCAGGTAATTCCTGTTCTGGGGAATGCCTTCTTGAAGGGCAAACAGAAGGAGCCTTGGGGTTGGTCATGCCCCGGGTGTCCGAATGGAGGCATGGAGGAGGTGATTCGTCCGTGTGCTGTGGAGGGAATGGGGGGATGATGCCAAGGGTAAATAAGAGAAAGGCTGTTCAAGCATAAGAACACCTCTTCAAAGTATTCTTGGCTGCTGCAGGGACCTGGTTTCCCTAACACCTCAGGTCCTATGGGTACAGCGACTGTTTGTTAAGTCAATTAAAAAGTACATTTCCAGATATGGGTACAAGAAATGGCAAATGTGGCAGGATAAACATGGAAATGCTGACACGAGAGGAAGGGGAAGCCCACAGGTAGGATGGCTGGTGGGTCTAAATATACCCTGTCCCAGACTGTCCCACAATGTGCCAGATCTACAGCCCAAAGGCTCTCCATCTAATCCTGACCTCTCGGCTCTGGCTCAGGGTGTGGGTTTGCCAACAACTGAATTCATCTGCTTGAATAATACCTAATGGGTGAAATCAGATTTGGCCCCTCTCTAGCATTGAAACTCTCTTTTGAGCGTGTTTCTACTGTTTTCAAGAACCCATCAGTATCAGCTAGCACTACCCAAGGAGGGGACAGTGCCACTAGAAAATTACTTACCTACACTGTGTTTTTCCTCTAAAATATAAGAACCAGGGAGGCAACCTTAACCATTTTGCTCACTCTCGCAACCCTTTGTCACAGGCTCTGGGTGATGTGTGCTAAATGAATCAGTAAGATGAATGAATGAATGAATGAATAACTATCAGCCTGCTTTTCCATGATCCCCAAGGTAGACAAGTACTTGTTACATGAAACCGCTGTTGGGGAAACCTGACCAATGCGGTGACTAGAATGGTTTTATACACCAAGGCAAAGAAGGATGAGAGAAGAAGGGGTTCACAGACCTTCAGATAGCCAGGAGCCTAAGAGAACAAGTTGCTATTATATAAAATGATGTAAATGGGTTTTTTTTTTAAACCTCTGGAGCAGGGGTTGTTTGGCAAACCTCTGTAGAAGCCAGCCAGATAGTAAATATTTTCAGCTTGGCAGGCCATAAGCGACTCTGGTGCAAAGACTTGACTTTTCTACTGTAATGCTGAAGCAGCCATGGTCAGAGACCAAGCGTCAAGGAATGGGCGTGGCCATGTTCCAATACAGACTTAGGTATGGACACTGGCATCTGAATCTCACATGCTTTATCCTTCTTTTGATAACCCTCCCCGCCCCCCTCCCCACAATTCAAAAGGAAAAAAGGTTTTTAGGTCTCGGGATTGGGCTCCCGACCTACAGTTTGGCAACTCAGTTCTTGACAAGCATTGTGTGATCACTTTGGCCACTCCCTCTGCCTTGAAGACACCAAACACTTCAGAACGAGCCTGGCCCTTCCTCCGTGAAAGCAAACTCTCAGACAAAAACAATACGAGGAATACCGCAGGTAACGAGCCCACAGTGACTTCCGGCCGGATGGTCTCCTCTAGTCCCTATCACAAGTTGAAAACCCTGCCTTCAGTTTGATTTAGGGCTGAAGGATGAAGGGAAATCCATGAATAAATAAAATCCACAAATAATCAAAGAATCCTCCTCAAAGAATGCTCCCAGGCCACACTCACCAAAAAACAACATTAAATCTGCCAGAGAGAATCACTTGACTTACTGGTGCTCTGACTCCTTTCCTTCTCCGGGCAGCCCTTGCAGAGAGTGAGGAACAATGAGTCAAGTCAATAATCAGTTCCTCAGTAATGAACAGTGGCCCCACACTCTCAAATCTGGATTCTGGGACATCTACTTGGGCAAACCGTGACACTGTGAAACACTTTATTCTAACTGAATGTTGAGAATTTAATTTTATCAACTAAATAAATGCAAGAACTTGCATCACTGTATAATCACCAACACATAAAGATTTTAAGTAGCAAGAGCCATAAAGTTTGTTCTGTTGAAACCAGTTTTTCAAGGGCTTACTACACATCAGTCTGAAGTGAACTTTTGGAAGGGAAGGGGGTGGGGGGAGATAAATAACGCTACTGTTTTCCTTCTGAAGAAACATGCTAAATTTAAAGATGTTTCCAAAGACTTACGTAAAAATTTGGGGATTTTATGATGTGCCCTTTGCCTGTATGAATCTCTTACTGTTCTAGTAAGTTCATCTCTGTAGTCTGAATGGAAAAATATTAACTAGCTAAGGAAAATAACTTTTGAGACAATCTTACTAAAAAAATGTAATTTGTCCTATAAGATGATAACTAATTAAAAAAAAGCCTTTCTATCCTGAAAAGTCACAACAAAAAGTTTAAGTGTGTTTTGGCTGATTTTTCTCTGCAACTATTTGAAGCTGTAAATGACTTAACTCAGTAAAATTCCAAATGTAATTATCTTCTGTACTTAGCCTAGGGCTCTCCATATATCTCAGCATTGCTGTCTTGCATACAAAATAGGCTTTTCGATGGCTGGTAACAATATAATGTACAACATTGTTTTAATTTCCCCTAGTCGGCTAACCTCTTGCCTACACTAAACCAGCCAGAGGAAGAAGCCACAGTGAGTCATCAAGCACTCAAAAGCATTTTGGAACTCGGTTGCATAAATGGGGTTTTGCAGGGTCAGGCTTTTGCAATTGTACATTTTAATAATCTCCATTTCTGACCCAATTTTTACTTTTAGAAACTAATTTTCTATTAATTATACCAAGAATGGAATTGTTAAAATATGGAGGTTCATCAACAAGTGACACCGGGAAGTGGAACCCACATTAAAGAATGCCCCCCATCCCTCCTCACAACTGTGAGCCACAGGAAAAGAGGCAGAAGTTTACCTTCTATAGTCACAAAACACATTCAACATGGCCCCAAGGACTGCCAAATATAAGATTTTATATCTCCATATACATATATACACATATGTATATAAGACATATGTATACATACTATATATATGCATATTATGTATCTGAATACATGTTTGCATGTGTGTGCATATGAGTGCATATTTAAAATGTCTGCACTGAACTCTTGGTTCTCAGAGAGAGAAGGAGACAAGTTAACACGAGGAAGAAATCCACACGCAGCTTCTATGTTAACTTATGGCAGCACGGTCGAGTGTGTGCGTGGGGACGTGTCTGTGTGTGTACACATGCGCGCGTGTGTGTGTACACTTGCTGCTGACACTCGTGTGTGCTTCCCCTCCCACCCTGCCCCCCATTCTCTCTCAGCCTCTCTCCCTGGCGCGGCTCCCTAACTCCAGGTTAGCAATATCGGCAACCCAGGGGACTTACATTCACAACAGACTAAGTTTTTAAGTTTTTTAACTTAGAAGTTTTCCATTTGGAGAAGACACAAGGGAGGGGGAGCGAGAGGGAGTGAGAGAGACGGAAAGCTCACAGAGGCAGCGGGCAGTCGGAGGCAGACACAGAGAGAGGCACAGAACTTCGAAACGCCTGAGCAGCAGCTCTCAAGGAGCAGCCGAAGGTGACCTTTCCCCGAAGAGTGAAAAGGGAAGAGAAAAAGAAAAAGGACAACAACCAGTTTTGGACCTTCCATTCAATAATGAGTACACAGGAACTCATTTCAGAACACTACAGAAATGAGGAATTTGAGGAATACTGAGGGAATATTAAAAATAAATGTGGCTTTAC